TTATTCTTGTAGTGTCAATTAGGTTTATAATGGAGCTCAACACACTTTTAATTAAGTTGCCAGAACAAGGAGGCTAAACAAGGCAACTAAATTAAGTTACCACTGACCACATGAGGCCCTAGTAAGTTAACAAAACCTACATCAGTAGCCACAAAGAACTAAGCTAAGGAAACAAACCACAAGAAAATTCAGTTCACTCCTTACAAGCTGCAGAATTGCTAAAAACCCACGAATTGCGGGTCTACGAAATCCAACAAAAGATGTAGGAGGATAGCTAAATTCTTGTCTCATAAGTGTCTTTCTCTGCTTCAATGAGCATAACTTGCAGCACCATCTTCTGAAGTTACACTCATCCTCTAATAAGCCTTATCAAGAGATAGAAGATAGCTAGCTTCCAAATAAGCCTTGACCAGCTGCAGTGAAAGACCATGTGCTCTTTGTTGGGTTCTATAAGGAACGTCATCGATATGCACATCCAAATCTAACAAATTCAATCCTAACGCAACAGAATCTATAGTTAGGATTCGGAATAGGTAAAAGACATAGGGTCTTCTAGAAGTGTCCTCATATTGGGCATGTCGTCACTCCAACCTTGAATTCAACACTTAAAGCTCATGTGGGGGAGTTGGAGGTGAAACAAGCATTGTTCCAGATGAATCCTACTCCTAGAGAAGATGGCATGACAACATTGTTCTATCAACATTTCTGGTTAGTGCTCAAGGATGACTTGTGCAAAGCAATGATCAGATGGTCAGCTTTTGAGGTATTAGAATCATACTTTAGTTGCTTTAATTGCCAAGTCTCTGAACCTTGTTGCTACTAGCCACAATAGACCTATCAGCCTGTGTGTGGTGGTTTACAAAGTGATTGTCAAAATTCTGTCAAATAGATTGAAACTTTGTTTGGATGTCCGTATTAGCCATGCTCAGGCCGCCTTTATCTTAGGAAGACAGTTGCTTGACAATGTTATTATAGCTCAGGTGAGTTTTCACTTTTTAAATAAACATGGGTCTGGGAAAAACTGTTTTTATGGCTCTTAAGTTTTATATGCTTAAAGCCTATGAAAGAGTAGACCGAGGAAGTGTGTGAAAAACTATTTTGAGATTGGGTTTTGATCCTGTATTTTTAAAATGGGTATTTGCTTGTATCTACTCAACTACTTTCTGTTTTATGTTAATGGTAAGCCAGTGGGCTATTTGTTTCCCTCAAGAGGGTTAAGACAAGGAGATCCTGATATAGAATATTATATTAGACCGATTTTAATGGATAAAAATGAATATATTGGAGAATAAGCTTACATATGAGATGGGACACATGGCATAATGGTACAGTCAAGCCTAACTTGGGCACTAAAGTACACTTCACCTATAAAAGAGGCTTAAGGTAATCTAAAAACTCATTTTCTCTGCATTCATGAGTACACTCTCATATTGCACTCTTTATCTCTGGCGAGTGCTGACTTAAACATGGAAGGCTCGACGCCGGGACCCCTTTCGGCGTTGAGTTATTGCAGGTACAGAGGTCGTCCAAGTTGAAAGAGACTGATGAAGTCCATTTCACTATTATTGGCGTCTTTTGTGAGAACCGTTAAAAAAACAATCGACCATGACAAACGGAGTTCCATCACCTCCGCCATTGGGCGTTGGCCATAATGCTCCGATTGGAAATTTTTTTTACGTCACCGGGGAGATCTCATCGAGGTGATTCTCCTAGTAAAATTTCATGCAAAACATCCACCATGAAGGCCTTCAATTTTGCCGGTCAAACATTCCTGATCTAAGATACTTTTGTCAACATCTGACCTTCAAATCCATTTTCCCGATGATCTGTGATGACTCAACAATTCGAAAGCACTGTTGGAATTCTCTCACCGAGGCGAACCAACTGTAACTTGCCTTCACCAGCCAACGGCGCCAGCAGGCCAAAGTCGTCTGATCAGAAAATTTTTTATATCATCGCTAAATTCTTCTCGCGCTTAACATCCAACTAAAATTTCAAGCAAAAATTCCATTGGGAAGGCCGTCAATTTTGTTGGTCAATGTTTCTTGATTTATGAAAATTTTGGTGAACTCCAGTCTCTGATTTTTTGGCAATTTCCGGCGACCCACTGCAAATGGAGGATACAATTAAATCCTCACCGAGGCGCACCCTCAGTCAGTCATCTCCGCTGGAGCCGACGACATTTTCCTGCAATTTTCGTCAGAACCAAGCGTGGGTCGCGACTTTCAAATCTGTGAGCAGTTCTTCCTAGACCCAGCGCAGCCCACTAGCACAACACGCGTGGTGGGCTCTGCCAGCAGCCTGCATACATGCCAACAAGGAAGCTCATTGCACGACCCAACGACTTTTATCCGCGGCAGAACAACATTAAACGCGACTAGTTCGCGTGGCCATGTCCGGCCCGAGCAGCCTGCTTCACTCAAAGATTTTGGCCCGCGCCCGGTCCGCG